ATTGAGAAATTTCTATCGATGTGCATGAAATTCTTAGGTTTGAATTTCGAAAAAAGATCTTCTCTGCGCATCGCGCTCACGTTGTTGGGAGCCAAAATATATCCAATTTACTACGTTTTTGAAACAATCCTTCGATCCTCGAAAGGGAAATTATCAGCAGTCGATTGGCTTATATTTCTTTATTTTATGTTCACAATGTTCATTCAAATATTCTCTTTCTATTATTTTCACTCCACCATGTTTATTACATTATCTCACGTTCTTCTGTTTTGTATTCTTCATGATTATCGAAAATAATTTCTTACTCCTTTTCTTCTTTTTTGCATGGAAAGAAGTTGAAAGTGTATTTAAATTAATTAGGAAAAGCCTGCTTATTGAAGACAGTCTTTCGCAAACGATTGCCGAGGCTCAAGTCAAATATAAAAAGCTTACACGTATTGTAAATGATCTTAATGTCATTTATTCGCCAATATTACTTTTCTGGACTGTTTTTGTCAGTGGTAATGTCGTATTTGAGATTGGGTATACCCTGAACACCGTCAAATCTAACCTGACAATATTCAACATTTTAATGGTTGTTTTCAATGTTAGTGTTCAATTTCTATTATTTTCCGACGTATGTTGTTCTTCTTGTAACGTCACCGAAGCTGCTAACGACGTCATTAACGACATCTACGAAATGTCTTTGAAGAGCGATGATAAATGGATCGAAGAAAAGACGTTTCGGTTTTCGGTCATCTCTCTACAAAATTTGCCGAAATTTTCTGGCTACAATATGTTTAACGTGAACACCAATCTGTTGTTGACAATTGTGAATGTTATTGTCACTTACAGTGTACTTTTAATTCAATTCTCTGTAAACGTTGCTTCGTAAGTAAATTACATCTGTGTCCCTATCACCACTTTGTCAAGACTTTAAGGTCTGGTAGACATTTTGGATAAGTGTTGAGAGGGCAGATGTCTTCTGATCTCTGTCCTCTTTATACTTATGCCAAGTGACAATTAAACATTTTTCCGTGCATTAACAAGGAAAAATGTTTATTTGCTTTCTAAAGGATTTATTATTTATTAGCAGTTTTACCAAATTATCTATTTTATTATATTATAAGACATTTCTTAGTTATAATATAAGGCATGTGTTGAAAATTGAAACTGGAACGTTTATTTGGTAAAAATGAATTACAAAATTCAAAGAAACCCAGCATTCACGCATGCATCCGATGACCTCTCTGTTGACAGCTGAATTATGTCTGATCGCTGTTATACTATATCCACAAATTATTAGCACGATTTTCTGCACTTATAAGCCTGAATTTAGTTTCGAGATTTTTATGTAAACGTTGAAAAGAAACTTCTCCCCAATGTCAACCAGATAAAACGATGTATCCCAATGAATTCTGCTTAATTTAACTACATTAAAAATTCTTACAAACAACATTAAAACAACATTCCTAGAAAAAAATGGTATAAATTATTAGTAAACTACGTTTCTAGAAAGAAGATATACTTGCATTTTATCTTGAATTTCCTGACTTTTAAAGTTTTAATTTACGTTTAAGACTTGCTGTTTGCAGTCGTTTAACAATCGAGAGATAAATTCGTTTTGTACTGTGCTTGAAGCCTGTATAAAGGTACACCATTGAATGTATTGTATAATGTAACTGGAGCAAAAAAGCACATTGATATTTTTATTATAAGTCGGAAAACATAAATGTATTGTTTGTTAATACAATTTATTCGAATTAAAAATGTTAAGTAATACATAAATTCGCACTTCATAAATTTTTTGCAATGTTATGACGTTTCATTTTAAAAATAACTTTTGTATTATTAATCAAAATAAATAAATAAATTGGTATGTGGCACCATCTGTTATGAAAATTTGTTATATAAATTTTATATGTTTTTAATTGTTATAAAATAGAAAATTATTTAATTTTTGATGGTAAAGATGAGTTTCTTAAAAAAAAAAAAAGCCTCTAAATGCTAACAACTAATAAAATTTTCATTAAGTCCGAACTCCGCGAGATATCACACGTATTCTAAAACATTTAATTGCAATAATTTTTAGTTCTACACTTCTCACTAATTCATATATTATTACGATTTACGTGTACGACCAAATTTACGTAGACTACCACAAATAAACACTGTTGAAGTTATTGATGAGTTTGTACGTAATGATTTTCACTATGTTGTCACGTTACTGAAGTATTGTATATATTTCAGGTCATTTTTATTTTGACATGTCGAGAAGAGTGTAAACATCTACAAATAATTTGCATCCCCCACAGATAAATTCGTGTATCGTGAAATTTGTGTGAAATTTATCTCTAAAGCCAACAAAATAGGATTCCGTAAAAATAATAAATCGAAAAAAAATATTTGAAATCATTCAACAACTGCAGAGGAATTTAGTATGAACCAAAGAAAATTTATTAAAACCAAATTATGCACACCAATATTAAAGTATATATATATATAATTTATTATATTGAAAACTGCATTTGTAATTCTACTTATATTATGAGGATTTAATAATAATGCCATAAACATATTAAATGAATCCGTAACATAATTATTTGGCATCTTTTATATTACACGCAGATGCCTTATCAGTATGTTGTTTAAACATCGTTTATAAAATAATCACATAATGTAATGTAAATAAATCAACTCTTTGTATTATAATTATATTCATTCCAATCCATATAACGTAACACAATAGTATTAATATTCTTCATAAATNCTATTTTATTATATTATAAGACATTTCTTAGTTATAATATAAGGCATGTGTTGAAAATTGAAACTGGAACGTTTATTTGGTAAAAATGAATTACAAAATTCAAAGAAACCCAGCATTCACGCATGCATCCGATGACCTCTCTGTTGACAGCTGAATTATGTCTGATCGCTGTTATACTATATCCACAAATTATTAGCACGATTTTCTGCACTTATAAGCCTGAATTTAGTTTCGAGATTTTTATGTAAACGTTGAAAAGAAACTTCTCCCCAATGTCAACCAGATAAAACGATGTATCCCAATGAATTCTGCTTAATTTAACTACATTAAAAATTCTTACAAACAACATTAAAACAACATTCCTAGAAAAAAATGGTATAAATTATTAGTAAACTACGTTTCTAGAAAGAAGATATACTTGCATTTTATCTTGAATTTCCTGACTTTTAAAGTTTTAATTTACGTTTAAGACTTGCTGTTTGCAGTCGTTTAACAATCGAGAGATAAATTCGTTTTGTACTGTGCTTGAAGCCTGTATAAAGGTACACCATTGAATGTATTGTATAATGTAACTGGAGCAAAAAAGCACATTGATATTTTTATTATAAGTCGGAAAACATAAATGTATTGTTTGTTAATACAATTTATTCGAATTAAAAATGTTAAGTAATACATAAATTCGCACTTCATAAATTTTTTGCAATGTTATGACGTTTCATTTTAAAAATAACTTTTGTATTATTAATCAAAATAAATAAATAAATTGGTATGTGGCACCATCTGTTATGAAAATTTGTTATATAAATTTTATATGTTTTTAATTGTTATAAAATAGAAAATTATTTAATTTTTGATGGTAAAGATGAGTTTCTTAAAAAAAAAAAAAGCCTCTAAATGCTAACAACTAATAAAATTTTCATTAAGTCCGAACTCCGCGAGATATCACACGTATTCTAAAACATTTAATTGCAATAATTTTTAGTTCTACACTTCTCACTAATTCATATATTATTACGATTTACGTGTACGACCAAATTTACGTAGACTACCACAAATAAACACTGTTGAAGTTATTGATGAGTTTGTACGTAATGATTTTCACTATGTTGTCACGTTACTGAAGTATTGTATATATTTCAGGTCATTTTTATTTTGACATGTCGAGAAGAGTGTAAACATCTACAAATAATTTGCATCCCCCACAGATAAATTCGTGTATCGTGAAATTTGTGTGAAATTTATCTCTAAAGCCAACAAAATAGGATTCCGTAAAAATAATAAATCGAAAAAAAATATTTGAAATCATTCAACAACTGCAGAGGAATTTAGTATGAACCAAAGAAAATTTATTAAAACCAAATTATGCACACCAATATTAAAGTATATATATATATAATTTATTATATTGAAAACTGCATTTGTAATTCTACTTATATTATGAGGATTTAATAATAATGCCATAAACATATTAAATGAATCCGTAACATAATTATTTGGCATCTTTTATATTACACGCAGATGCCTTATCAGTATGTTGTTTAAACATCGTTTATAAAATAATCACATAATGTAATGTAAATAAATCAACTCTTTGTATTATAATTATATTCATTCCAATCCATATAACGTAACACAATAGTATTAATATTCTTCATAAATGCCAAGTCTACACTATGGAGACCGGGTGTGAAAGACGGGGGTTTGTCATATCTGAACGGACCATCCGAAAAATTCTCACAGATTTTTCAACCCGCCTAGGTTTTGATCTTGGGTTCTCCATAAGTGGTAGATTGGCACCTTGACTGCTCGGCCATCCGACCTGCATCTGTATAAAGCCGATTCATATTACAAAGAACATTGGTTCTTGTAAAATTATACTGGAATGATGGATCCTCGACATTGCGATTCTGTCAACTGATAATAATCTGTTATTTTCAATAAGAGTATCTCGTCACAAACTTATCTTGTTGCGATGGTTCCTAAACTGTTTCCCGCGGCGATGTTCGCCATTGAATTCGAATTATTCTTAATAAACTTTCTAGTCTAAGCCCTTCAAAAATTATATATAAATAAATATATATATATTTTAACTTATATACTGTATATGGTATATTAGGAAAGCTCCTCCGAATGGTAGCAGATTAAGGGATTCGCGAGTCACAAAAGTTTGGGAACCATCGCCTTATTGAAACAAGACTAAAAAAACACTTTTTTCCTATAAAAATGACTTTAGATGTTTATTTCTAAGGTTTTATGAAGTCGAATTGATGGCGATGTTTTTCTTGTTCCAAAAACCACGAATGGAATCAGCCACGCTCAGGATTACCGGTAACAGAATCATAGCGTTAAAAAGGGCCAAAATCATAACCAAGGAGATTACCTTGGAAAATATGACGAACGTATAAGAAGGTCCAAATACGAAAACTACTACACACAGTATTGTCGACAGACATCCCTGTACTATGGGGTATCCTACCGCGTAAAGCGAAACTCTAATCTTTTTTTCGGGAGATTCGTCTAGACAACAATTGTAAGCGTATGCCACGTGAGACGAAAAGTCGATGCAAATTCCCGCACTCATCGTTAAAAGCATGACCGATATCATGTCCAATTTAACTTCCCAACAAATCATGAATCCTACGGATTCCACCATGATGCACACCAAATTCAACATGACACAAAGAGCGTAAGAAATATTCTGTATCAACGCTAGGAATATCAGACACACCACGCCCATAGCAATTCCCACGTTTTGCAGAAAGAGGGAGGGCATATTCAAGTGTTGTTCGTAAATGACGAAGAAAGCATTGTACGCAAATACTCGATACTTGCTACGATCCGCGGTCGCACGCAAATTTTCCAACATAATTCTTTCGTCGTTTCCACTTCTGACTCCTTTTGACGTCACAAAACATCTGGAAGCAACGATTTGGTTTCGCTCGCTGTTCCATGCAATGTCTTTCCGGAAATAAGAGAATGGTTTAAATCTCAAAAATACTAGTTTCAGTCCTTCTACGAATCCTCGAGAATCGCTGGTGTTAAAATCTTTTATCAAGTAGTTTATTTTCTTATCGCGAATGAAGGAAAGATATTTCCTTATCCAACACATTGTGAGGTTGCTTCCACTAATGTAAGGAGAGCTCTCGAACGTTCGTAAAATGTTCTCTACTTCTTCTTGTACGTTAGAATTAGAATAATCAAGAGACTGATTAAAAACGACTTGTATCGAGTGAGGATAGTCTGTGAAATATCGGTAATGCACTTGAAAGAACTTCGTGATGTAAGAGGAAAACGGTAACGTGTCCACCATTTCTATTCCTTCTTTCATGTGTTTCATATTGTAAATGTTTCCGGCAACACCACACGCAAATGTTATTACTACCAAAATTTTTATTACTTTCTTACCGAGAAGTGTTCCCAACTTTTCGGAGAGGAATTTCACGGCACCATCACTATTATTCGATCGCGCCCTGTCTGTTCCGGTTTCAGATCGTTCATTTTCTGAAAAGAAAACAATGTAATACGAATAATTATTGAGATGACTCGAATAATTTATCATAGAAAACATTTCTTATAAATAAGTTGCGAGTTTCCTCCTATATATTAGGCCTACTATTTACAGTCAAGTTTTATTTTCGCTTTGATACTCCATGGGCATTTTAGAAGTTAGTACGATTTTGGCCTCGCTGTTTCATTACCACATCATCCAAAATGGTCGTTAGACGAGGTCACCGCATCTCGGTCTTATTTCTTATTTAGGTATCACTTTAACTTTTGATTTGGTATTTTAGCTTTTATTGGGCTTGTTTGTTTTCACAGGGAATGTATTCTCACGCTGTACTGCATTACCAGTAAAACTGATAAATAAATATTTCGAAAAGTAAGCAACGTGTCACTGACATTGAAACCTTGATGGCCGATTGCAGAGACAGCGTTTACGTTAAACGACAGTTAACGGCCGAACGGCCTATAGACATCGGTTGGATGAACCGCGGTTTAAAATACGTTGCAAAGACGATGATCGTCTATTTCCGAACGCCATCTAAACGAATCTCGGCGAAACGTTGGCTGTTACTTTCTTTGCCATTACTCCCCTGTTTCAGGAGTCGCTCAGCCAATCAGATTATTCGTGTGACATCAGAAACATGGCGACTGTGTCGAAAACGTGTAGGAATTTTTCGGAAGAAGAAAAGAACGTCCTGGCGGAAATTATTAAAAATTATCCCGTAGTTGAAGAGAAGGGGTATGATAACCGTACTCTAGCGTCAGAAAAACCGCATGGGAGAAGATTCTAAACGAATTCTCCTCGTCATTTCCCTGTAGAGCAGCTCGTACAATAGTACAATTGAAAGGCAAGTATGAATGTAAAATATTCATTTCATATTATAAGATGTTAGTCAATATTTTTAACATTAATAATATCAAAGTAGAATAATAATTCAAAATTTTAATAAAACGAATATATAGAAAGTTTCGATTATTACCCTTTTATAATTACCCGGCAGAAAATTCTGCCTGCTGAGTCTCAAGACGACTTAATCACCTATATTAAATTTATTACAATAAAAATTATTTTGTGCAATCTATATTTAAGTGTATTCTATTCTGAATCAAGATTTCATATCCTACTAATCTCTACTTATATTTATTAGATTAATAGATTATGTAAATATACAATATTGACCAAATATTAAAACAGCATATTTAATTTAAGAAAAGTTTACTAGAAAAGTATATCTTATGATCTATGTTATAGGTTGCTGGAAGCGATTAAAAATAGATGCCAAAAAAGAGGCAGATAATAATCGACGTGCTGCACATATAACAGGTGGAGGACCAGCACCGTTATCATTGAATCCCTCCACACAAGTGGTTTTATCTATTTTGGGTGACAGTATTGAACCGTTACCCAATCTGGATGATCCACCATCACCACTTATCATCACATATGAAAATAATACTGAATCATTTACAGCTACAAATGAATACTCTAGTTCAGAATTATTTTCACCTATAGTGGTAAGTGATGCGGCTGTCAGGGAAAATATGGAAGTTGCAGAAGTGGCAGATGATCCACCTCCACCCAAAAGACAACGGTAAATAATGTTCAGATAAAATAATACTAAATATTAATAATTACTTTCTAAACCATAATTATTCGTATTTATAGCATTAACTCATTAGAAAAAGCCCAAATTCAGCTAATAGAGGAGGGCATAAAAACTGAGAAAATGAAACAAGATACAGAAAGGAAAAAGCAAGAATCGGAACAACTTAACATAGAGTTATTACAGTTAAAAAAGTTGCAACTTCTGCAAGAACTAAAATTATCGGAAAATAAATAAATGCATTTATTATAAATATTAAAACGGCCCTTTTCAGGGCCAACAACTTTAGTTAAGAGTGGTCATATCTTATTAATAAACAATTAGATGATGGAAGAATATCAAAGAAAAAATATATGAAAATAAAAGAAAGATAAAAGTGGAGCATAATTCATATGTAAAAAATATATATGTATTTTTTTATTAAATAGCTATTTACCTACTGTTTGTGATTACAGAATCATGTTTAACATATATACCTTTTTATATGTATACCAACTGAAGAGGGATTATTATCACTGGTGTGATAAGACCTTATTATCTACCTCACATTAGTAGGGTTTTTAATTAATTTAATTATATCAAGGGCAAAAAGCAATTCCTTTATATTCTTTATATATATCAAATTCTTTATCACACTCTTTTATACTGAATGTCAAAAAAGTCTAAGTTATAAACAGTTTTACATGAATACAACATATACAAGTATTTAATTAAAAATGTTATAAATAGCAACTGTTTAATGAACATTTTTGAAGTAATACATTTATAGATTAACTTGCTTGATTACATAAATTTCATTTAATACTTGTTAAGTAAATTAAAACTCACTTTTTGCACTATTTGTGAAAAACACTGTAGTATGCTCTAATTGATAAACAAAAGGTAGTCTGTTACAAAAGTATAGGTACACCACTTAAAAGTCTCTTAAAAATTAATTTATCATAATAATAATTAAAATTATCATGACTAGGGTGAGATGTCATCATTTTTAACTGTCATGGTGGCTTTTTTGAATGTTTTATTGAATGTTATATAAACATTTTCACACAATGCCTCATGGAACTGTACTTCAGGAGCAAGAAATACATAAAATTAAACACAGAAATCATAATTTAAATCTTTTTGAGAAAATATGGATGAATAAAACAACTGTATGAATGTTTATTTAATTTGTTACATAGGTTATGTTAAGTAATATTTTTATTTAAAATGAATAAAAAAAGAATTATTTTGTCTATGATAGACTCTTTATCAAAATTGTATGGTCCTGAAAAGGACCTTTTGTGAAAGTCCTAAAGTACTGTTTCATTTAACTGAAATGTTGCAGTACAATAGATCTTCGAAGAGCAGATCCTGATCCAGATTGCTCATTCATTCTTGAAGTTTCTTCCTCTATTTCTTCATTTGAATGCTCAGTAAGAAACTCCTCCTCTTTAAATTCAATGGCCCAATTGTGTAGAATTGCAGTGGCTATTATTATGTTTAGTGTGTTGTCTAATTTGGTTCTTAGACAACTTCCAATGCATGGAAATCGTCTTTTCCAGACCCCAAATAATCTCTCGACGATATTTCTTGCTTGTGAATGAGCTTTGTTATACCGTCTTTCAGCATGATTTTGTGGATGCAGAAATGGGGTCATTAAATATGGCAAACAAGGATAGCCACTGTCACCAACCAGATATCCATTACAATATCCTTGATTTAGTTTTTCTTTAATGCTACTATTAGAAAAAATTCTGCTATCATGTGTTGAACCGGGCCACCGAGCAACAATGTTTCTAATTTTCATGTTTCCATCACAGATTACCTGAAGTATACATTTAAACATGCATCAATTATATATTTTCATTAAAGTTATCAGTTTGAGGTATCAAAGATATTATTTGATATTTGTAATTTTATGTGTCAAAGAAATACTCAAGAATATAACTGTTTCATAACAAGGCATAAAAATTTAAAATGTTAGAAAAATATATAGGCCATTGTATATTTAATAGTTATTTAAGCTACAATAAATTACAGTTTATTGTTCTCCACAAAAATGTTTGTTGAGAACAATAAAATAAAATTGTAATTGAGGTACACTCACTCAGAATAAGTAAATCACATATTTAAGTAAAGATGATATTGTATGTAAATAATTCTCACCTGGCAGTTAATAGAATAATAGGATTTTCTATTATAAAAAAGTTGAGCTTTACTGCTGTCAGGACACTGGATAGGAATATGAGTGCAATCAATTGCCCCAATTATTCCTGGAAAGTTATCCTTAGACAATAAAGAAAAATCGTGCATAATACTCGGAAGTTCGGATAGCATCGGAAATAAAATTTCGGCATTTTGTAGATGCACTAATGCCTTTGAGACGTTTTGGATGGTTCTGATAATGACATAACGATAATTAATAAATAATGCAATATATAACTTAATAGAAACGTTAAACAAGACCTCATTCTTATAAGCGTCTCTATCACTACACAAAAAACTTTTTAAATTTATTTAATAATAGTTTGATAGATACCTGCATACTGTAGAGACGTGAACTCCGATAAGATCACCGGCTACCCTCTGGTAGCTTCCGGTGGCATAAAATCGTAATGCCGTCAATAACTGTTGTTCGGCAGTTAATGGCAATCCTCTTCCATCCAGATGCCTAATTTCGTCGCCAACACGATTTAATATATAAGCGAATCCTGATTTAGTAAATCTATACCGAGTTCAAAATTCGTCCTCGGAATAAATTTCTATAGGATTATTCCGATCTCTCATTACTCTCTCTCTTCGTAACTGTCGAGATGAATGATCTTCATTCGTCCCGTTTGTAAGATTGATTAAATTAAAAATATCCATTTTAGCACGACCAACAAAGGTAAATGGCGACTTCTACTCGAGTAAAATGTTGTCTAAACCTGCTATCGAGGGAGTCTAGAAAATAGGTCAAATAACTTGTTTCTAATCGCTGTCTACACTGTGGCAGGGGACAAACGCCGTCTCTGCAATGAAAATTTTTCTGAACAGCGGTTTACCCGATCTGTAAACCGCGGTCGCCCTCTAAACGCTGTCTCTGCAATCGGCCGTGAGTGTTTGTGGTAGATTTAAGATGGCAGTTTGATGGAATCTACCCGATTGATATTTTTTGAACACAATCACAAACTAGTCTGAATGCAAAGAAGATATTTACTTACCGACGTCTTTTCGTTTGACAGGATAACAGAGAAGGCCATTAAGACGATGTTTTTCTCTGTAACCGTCGAGTGCCAAAAGAGCTCCGAAGAAGAAGATTTGGTAGATGAAGTCCATCAAGATAGACAGACAGCTGTAAATGCAGGCGATACGAACAACTCTGTAAGACGATGCGATTCCTATACAGAAGCAAGACAAGTTGGTCAAGGAAGTGATGGTGATGGACACTCCCGCTTCCGAAAAAGTTTGGCTCGTTCGCTCTTTCACGCTGTTTTCT